AGAATTCAAGCATCGAAGCTGCTTTTTATACGCTCTCCCCTGCTCCCCGCAATCCATGCTGCAGTGTTCCTGGGTTTTCTGTCGGGGACGGCCTGCCTGCATCTTCCCACCTCCCAGCCCTCTCCTGCACGGGAAGACCTAGCGTGCTCACCTCCACAGCTCGGGCCCTGCGAGATAATGGGTTTCATACCACTCGCTCCGGCTCCCTGACGCCCTAAGCCCACCTGCAGGCCTGGCTTTGCCGTGGGGCTGTGCTGGCCGTGTGTCTGGACTGCCCCAACAGGGCTCCCAGCACGGCAGGACAAGGAGGCTGGGTGCCGTGGAGCCCGAGGTCTTCTCCCTGAACACCCAGACCCTGAGCCAGGCCCTCCTGAAGGAGGCAGCCAGAGAGAAAGAACTGCCACTGAGGACCAGAAAGGCCAAGGTGACAAGGAGGGACCAATCACAAAAGCCCATGGAGTTATCTGAAAATAGATGCTAGGAGAATTGATGAAAGCTGCTCGGCAGAGAGCAGAGCCTGGAAGGAAACACAGGAAAATGTGACCAGAGCTTGTCTCTGCGTGGGAGAAAGGATGAATAATTTTTCCCTTATGTGCATTTTTCTGTATTTTCCAAATTTTCTATAGTGAGCATATGTTGCTTTCATGATCAGAAAAGGACTATATTACTGATATGATTATATATGTTATAAGTCAAATAGATATAATTCATTATGAGAATGAAATGAATTATTGTTAATAGTTATGAGATTAATATAAACAACCATCGTCGTGTATTGCCAGAAAAGTTATTAAGATGGTAGCAGTTGTTCTTGTGTCTCTGGCACATCCCCCTTCAGAGAAACTTTCAAATAGAAAATGAAACTGGGCATCTCTGCTATGCAAATATTGGTGGCTGTTGTCATATTCCTGCAACAGCCCTTGACAGTGGGCTGGGCTGGGTGCTGTTCTCACTTTAAATCCGGGGAGCTGAGGCTTGGAGGAATAAAGGGAACAGCCCCAGGACTTGACCAGAGCCCTTGGGTCACCCATGTCCCTACTGTAGCTTCCAGGCCGTTTCCCTTGGGGATCCAATGTGTTTCCTGTTGTCCCCAATCTTTAAAATTTTTTTCCACTATTAGAGGTAATACCAGCAGCCAGGGTGGAACTGTAATTCATGAAGAATGTGTTGGCTTGCTTTAAAAGAATGGTATTTGTACGGGTCCCTAAACCACTCGAGGGGCACCATCGGGCTTGTGGGTCATGCTGGGAGGTGGCCCGGCTGCCTGTGACAGTTTCTCAGCCAGGCAGGAACTCTTTTCCACACGATGACATTGGAACTGAATGTCACACTCCTCCTTGGAAGAAAAAATTATGTATAGGGCAAGAACTCAGGACATGTGTGTGGAAGAATCTCTGTGGTACGAGCCCAGCCTGGAAGAACTCTTAGGCCAGAAACACCCCTTTTCTGACCTTATTTTTGAAAACTGGGCCATTTCCAGCCCCTAATAACGGAGGGGGACCAATCTCCAAATTCAATGTACTTGATCTTAAGTATCTTTCTTTAAAAGTGAGTTAAAAGGCAAACTAGCATGCTGTTGTCTACTCTAAAAGGCAATTTCTAAATTTGGATTAAAAAAAAAATTGTACTCTAGCTTGAAAATCCAGTGGCTCTCAGAATGCAAGTGAGATACACCACTCTTTGTGCTAAAATCATCTTAAGCAGTTTAAAATAAATCAAAACAAAATGATGTGAGCAGAGCATATGTCTCCCATCCCTTGTTTTTTGAAGGCCGAGTGGGCCGGGCTGCCTAGCACAGACCGGTTCCGTCCGAGAGCCGCCTGGGCCCTGATCCTGGCAGTCAATGATTTTAACAGAAGGCCACAATGTCTCCTGGACCAACGAGACCTAGGTCTTTTACTTTCCAAAGATGGCCTCAGTTCTAGACAAGGATTAAATTATGAAATAAATCATTCCAGAACATAATCAACAGGTAAGATTAATAAATTGAGACGTTTATTTCCTCCAAGAAAAATGTCTGGCACTTGGAATTTCTAAGCTGCAAGTAGATGCACACATTTTCAAAAGATCTTTCTTTTCCTTCGCTTCCTCACACCGGGCACAGCAAAACATCTCTGCCTTCTAAAATAAAAACACATGCCACTTTAATTTCGCAAAGAAAAGCCAGAATGCAGAATCTTTGCAGAGATTTTTTTTTAATTAAAAAGAGAGACTGACAACTTCATTTTATACCTTTTCAGGGGAAGTTACCCTCCTCCCCATCGGTCAATAATTTAATGTCAAATCGCGGCAAAACAGCGAATTCCATCTCTGAGGCTCTAGAAGCTCAATCTAGGAGAGATTTTAATTGTAACCCTAAACAGCAAATGCTGACATTTGTCTTGCTTTCAGATAGTCTCCAGACTGGGCCAGAACATGACTAATTTATTTTATCTTATCCATCTATCTAGGCACAAGATTAAAATATTTATATCAGTCTGTTCACTTTAAAATGTGCAGTTACAGACACCAGCTTCAGGGCCACTCCTTAATTTTTCACAGTTTTGGCTTTTCATTGTTTCCAGAAATGCACAGTCCTTGAATGGCGAATACTTGCAAATGCTGATGAAATCTTTAAGTGGGGAGCCTCTAACTAATATGAAAACCTCCTTTCTCAGGCTGCATGGACGCTGCCCAGCCACGGTGACGGAGCTGTTCCAACGCCTGCTTCCTGAGACAGGCCCGTGAAATAATACAGGCTTGAGCCCGGCTTCTAGAAGGAGCACGCCTCTGGCCAGGGTGGCTGGTGGAAACCAGAGCCTGGCCAAGGGAGCCCCGGCCAGGCTGCCAGGTAGGCAGCAGGCGGCAGGGGGTTAATGTGGGGAGCAGGCAGGGGTGGGGTGGGAAGCCAGCTGAGGAAATGGGGGCTGCAGGGCCCAGCCCGACCAGGCGCAGACACAGGGGGCTCTGTCTGCCTGCCCGCTGCCCTGGCACTGTGACTAACCGCCCCACTATTGTGAGTCTGAAGTCAGCCCTTTGTGTTGTCCCCTGGCGTCTGGGAGCACAGCCGAAGAACCCTTTCCAGCAGCCCCCCTCATTCTGGAACCTGCAGCCCCAACATCCATTCTTTCAGCTCTCAGGGTTGCTGGGGGCCGATGAACCAGTGGAAGCATCCCCTTCCCTGGCCAGGAAGGGCCACCAGCAAAAAAAGAAGGAGAAAACCAGTCTCCCCTACTCTGGGTGGGGATGTGGGGGGCACAGGGACCTACTAAACCTGCATGCCTGCCATGGCAGCCCCTTCTCCACATGCAGCAACTGAGCCATTGAAATGGGGAGAGGCCAAATCGAATATGGAAAAAATGGCAAAATATCCCATTCACAGTTTCATACAAGCAACACATTGAAATAGGATTTTGGAAATTTATGTTAGATTAAAATGAATTTTAGTACTAAAGTGAATCTCACCTGCTTATTTTCACTTTCCAAAAATGTGGCTATTAGAAGATGTTAAATTACAGATGTGGCTCGCATTTGTGGCTCACGTTGTTTTGTGTGAGCTCATGGGTTTGGGGGCACTGGGATCTTGAAGGCTGCCTTCTCCTAGGGAGACAATGGCACTCCCCACCCATCATTGTCAGGAATACAAGGCCCTCGCAGCCACACTGTCTCCTGACCCTGGCCTTGCATTCCCCTGTTTTGAGAATTGGGACTTACACACGCAGGTGTCTGGGAATCCTTTGTCAAACACTGGCATGCACACGAGTATGCCTGCACACCCACATGCACATACATGGACACGTACAGACACACACAGCCCTGGTTCCTGTCCGCCACAGGCTGGAGCAACCTGTCCCGGCTAGCCTTCATGGAGGCCAGATTCACAGGGCACCCAGATGCTCCTAACCCCACCCCTGGACCCAGACATCCGACCCTTTGTCCTGGGACAGACAGGACCAACCCAGGCCACACCTGCCTTTCATGGGCCGGGGCACTTTCGGCTTCCTGGTTCCCTTCCTCCAGGAATACTAAAAATTCTATTTTATGACTGCATCAGATTAAAGACTAATATAACCAGATCGAATTCATTATCATATATTCATTATTTTTATAGTCGTTTTTTTCTTATGATTTTAAAAGAAATGAAAATGAAAACATTTCATGGACCCTAGGCTCTGTGCCTTGTGGGCATGTGGGCCCAGACCATCCCTCTGAGATCCCTTGCCTGAACCCATGCCCCTGAGTCTCACCCAGTGAGGAGCACACGGGGCTTGCCCGCCATTTGTCCAGTGACCAGATACCTTGTGAACTCATTCCTTAAGTCCTGCCTTGAATGTACAGTGTGTGAAGTCCTCACCAGATGCCAGAAAACGTTCCACATTATTTTTAAAACAGAAATTAGTCAAGAGGAAGGCCTGGGATGCCAGTGTGGTTGAAGGCCCCAAGTCAGGGGGCCCCAAGTCAGGGGGCCCCAAGTCAGGGGGCCCCAAGACCCCCACCCAGTCCAGCGCTGGGGTCTCCAATCAGGGACTTGGACACCAAGTTTAACACCAAGAGGAGGCCAGCAAACAGGCGTGCTGCCCTGGGTAGTGACTGGTACCGTGAGGTGCAGCCTCCGAAGGCACCAGGCCCCTTCTGCCTCCCATCCTCCACCCCTGCTGCAGGTGCTGTGGGGCCTCCCGTTCTGGATGGAGGTGCAGAGGAGGCTGGGCTTTCCGGCGTCCCCCAGAACCGGTATCGGCTGCTCTGGCCTTTCCCTTCCCAGGGTGCCTCGGCGCCAGGCCGGGGCCCAAACCCTGCTCAGGAAGGAGGGCCGGTGCAGGAGATGGTTAAAATTCTGCATCCTTTTTGCATCCGCCTCCAGAGGAAGCGCTGCTTTTTTTTCGCCCCCCCCCCCACCCCCGAAGCAGGAGGAGGGGGGAAAAAAGCTGAGAGCAGCAATTTGCAGGCCTTGGGATGTTTTTCTCCTTGACAGCCCCGGGCCCCGCCTCGCTCCGGCCCTTCCTCCGACTGCGCGCGGCTGGCCCTGTGGCCACGGCTCGGCTCGGTATCTGCCGCTCCTGCCTGGCCCCCTGCACACGCGTCCTCCGCTCAGAGCTCAGGCCAGCCCCAGCCGGCAGGGAGGCCGGCTGGGGGCAGGCAGGCAGCGATGCCCGCGTCGGCCGCAGCTGCCTGGCACTGCCCTCCTTTGTGCCTGCCTCCTCTGCCAGCCTCCGCTCCAACCCCCCACCCCCACGAGGCCTGCTCCTGGGCCCGGCCGCAGGGCCTGCTGCCCGCAGAGCTCCCACCCTGCGCCCACTTGGGGTGCCCTCACCTTCTGGGCCCCCGGCTCCTGGCCTCAGGTCCTGCTGGTGCCCAGGTCGCCCGGCCCCGTCCTCCGTGCTCTGCGTTCGCCCCACCCTGCTGCCCGAGCTCGGCGGCGAGCCTGGCACCGTGCCAGGCTGCCTGGGAGCCCAGCCCGGGCAGGGCGAACTTTCCGGCGAGGGTGTGTATGGGGGGGTGGCTGCGGGGTGAGGGTGGTGCCAGGGGAGGGAGAGGGCCCCAGGTGCCTGGTGGCCGGCCCCCGGCCCCCAGCCCCCAGCCCCAGGCCGGCCTGCGGGGGCCTCCCCTGCCTCCTGTCTCCCGAGTCCCACAGAGGCGCAGACAACATGAGCGCTTGAGTCCCAGCAGCCATGTGCAGGAGCCGGCAAACAAACAAAAGCCCTTATTTATTTATTTAGTTCACACACCCAGATAAGGAGGCGCCTTTTGTGCACATAATTTCACACACATCAGAACCGAGGCGATGCCACGGTACTCCCCACAGCCCGAGAGCCCCGGACAGCCGCCCGGCCCTCATGAATAATTGCATCGCCTCGGCCTGGGCATTTCCATATTTAAATTGGGCAGCAGCGTATGATTAATTAAGAAGGAAAAAGGCAAAAAGGAAGAAAAGCAGTGGGGGTGGGGAGCCGGACACTCTGGGCAGCGTAATGTGCCAAGGTGCCCGCGGCTGCTTAACTCCTCCCATGCCAGGCCTGAGGGAGAGGCCACAGCAGGGGTTGGGAAGGGAGGCTCCCGAGACCCTCGGCCTGGAGGGCGGCATGCCCTTTGCTGCCATCCTGTGTCGAGTGCCACCCCAGCCTCACATGCTGCCCGGGGAAGGTTCTCTTCCTCCTGTTCATATTCCGGGCAGCTCACCATTGCTCAGGTCAAAATGTGCCATGCCAGTGCTGGAGAAAGAGACACACCGAGGCCCCCGAGTGGGGCACTTCCAGTGGCGACTGACTTGTCCTTTGCCCTGCACAGCTTCACCCCACACCCCTGCCACATGCAAGCTGCAGTGCTGCCCTGCCTGGGGAGGCTCTGCGACCCCTACACATTCTCACAAGCCTCCTCCTCCAAAGGGCTGTTCCATGGCTCTTCTGGCCCTGAAAGCAGCCGGCCTGTTCCGGGAATGGGGCAGGAAGGCCTGCCCCCCTTCTAGAAAGATTCTTGGCTAAGTGAGTGCCAGGGAAGACTATATTCCTAAGGCAAGAAGTGGCCCTGGATTTAGAGTCTGGCCATCACCAAGGTTTGGCCCTATCCTTTGCCAACTGTGTGACCTGAGGCAGGTTATCTGGCCTCTCTGGGTCTCGGTCTGCCTGGCTGCAAAATGGGAATGATATGAATGCCCACTATTCCTGCCCCGTGGGGTCCAGGCGAGCAAGAGTGGCTCCTGGTTGGCAGAGAGCCTGCCTGAGTTCCCAGAACCCTCGTCCTTGTGGTGGGCTGAAGTTGGAGCCAGAACAAGTCCAGATAGACCCAGGACCATGCAGCTCTGCCCCTGCTGAGGCCCCAGGACAGTGGTCAGAAATTTGCTGAGAAAATAATCTGAAATCTTGTGACCAAGAGTGTCCTAGGGCCACCAGGCCTGGCTTGGTTGTGGGGGGCCCATCTGCCCTTGAGAGTACGCAGGGGTGCGTGGAGTGGAAGGGCTCTGGGGCAGGACCAGTTGCCCAGCAAGAGCCTCCTCGGTGTCCTCTGGGGTCTGGGCAGCATTATGATCACCCCCCTTTACAGCTGGGGGAACTCGGGCACAGAGCGGTCAGGAGCATACCGGAGATCACACCAAAGTGGGGGCCCTGGGATTTAAGAGCAACCCAGCGCCCGTCCCAAGGCTTTTCTTTTCTTTTTTTTGAGATGGGGTCTTGCTCTGTTGCCCCTGCTGGAGTGCAGTGGCATGATCATAGCTCACTGCAGCCTCAACCTCTCAGGCTCAAGTTATCCTTCTGCCTCAGCCACCCAAGTAGCTGGGACTACAGGCATGTGCCACCACGCCCAGCTAATTTCTTTTTTGTTTAACCTTTGTTGCTCAGGTTGGTCTCAAACTCCTGGGCTTATGTCTTTCTGCCTCGGCCTCCCAGTGTGCTGAAATTACAGGTATGAGCTACTGTACTCAGCCCAAACCCAGGGCTCTTAACCACCCTACTATGCACTGTGCTGGCCCCCAGTCAAGGGAGAGAATTCACGTCAGGCAAAAATGTTTTACAGAGAGGCAGCTAAGTCTGTTCCACAATGGATGACACAGTCCCCCTCACAAACCACCCCACAGATCGAACCCCAAGGAACTCTGCTCCTACATGTGCCCATGGGGCAAGGGATGCAAAACACCAGGCAAAGGAGCTCAGAGGATGGTACTCCTCCAGAGAGCTGTGTGTCTCTGGGAAAACTAACACACCTCTCTGAGCCTGTTGCTACAGCTTTACCATCAGCGATGTGACTGCAGGTCTTCTCGGCTGCCTGTCAGCGGATGCACAGGCCTGTGCACAGGGCTCCACAGGGACCACGCCGACATCACCGCACACCCACCCTCCTGCTCATAGGACAGCCCATTCACACCCGCTTCTCCACCAGCCACAGGCTTCTTGGGAGGACCAGACTCTTCTCCACGGACAAGCCACTGCCCCTTTGAGGGCCTCAACTTCCTTACTTATGAGATGAGGAAACAAATCTGCACTTCCCATGGGACTTGGGGGGTGAAAAGGTAACCTCCGTAAAGCGGCCCCTGGTGTGGGGAAGTCACCCAATAGATGACAGTCCCTCCCGCCTTCCCCCTAGGCCCAGAGCTCCGCAGAGTCCTCAGGCTGGTGTCCCTCCAGGCCAAAACGCTGCCACCCCCTGGCCAGTGCATTACAGGGTGGTGGGGAAGGGGGGCATCTGTGGAAGACAACACAGGACTTGGCCTGGGGTCCTGGGCAAGACCTCTGTGACCTCAGTTTCCCTGGATCTCTCCAGGTGTGACCTTGTAGACGGCCTCTGTTCTGGACTCACAGCTGCTGAGGACGAGGAAGAGGACACTGCAGGCATTCCTTCAGTCCCCTGGGGAGGTTCAGATGCTCAGACTCCCTGATACCACCTTTGCTGGGCAGAATAATGTCCCCAAGATGTCCGAGCCCTAATCCCTGGAACCTGGGAAAGTGTTACCGCACTAGACCAAAGGGACTTTGCAGGTGTGTGATTGAGTTGAAAATCTGCAGTGGGAGGGTAGCCTGGATTAGCCACGTGCACCCAGTCTAGTCACACGAAACCTTAAAAGCAGAGACTCCTTCCCTGCTGTGGTCAGAGACAGAACGAGGGGACGCTGCTGGCTTCAAAGATGGAAGAAGGGAGGAGGAGCCAAGGAGCAGGTGCCGCCAGAGGCCAGAAAAGGCAAGGTATGGATTTTTCCCCTGGAGTTCCAGGAGGAACTAGCCCTGCCAACACCTGGATTTTAGCCCTGGGAGCCCCACCTCAGACATCTGAGCCCCTTGACTGTAAGGTAATAAATGTGTGTTGCTTAAGCCACTAAGTCAGCCAGAAGTTGTTACATGGCTGCCACAGGAAACTAACAGGCCCTCCCCTCTGGCCCGGACATGCCCAGCTGCCTGTGAAGCGGAAGAAGGACACAGCTCTCGTCGATGTGTTCACACACCTTGCTCCCCTGCTGGGCTGGCCCTGGGGCCGCAGACCTGATCCCTGCTCTCAGGAGCCTTCGCCAGCCGGGAGATGCCCGCAGAGCCTCCCCTCCTGCTGCTGCTGCCCCGTCCTCTCCGCTTCCTTCCTGCTGCTGTTTGTTGAGTGCTCCCTGTGAGCAGGCACCAGGCTAGCGTCCTCCTCCCAACCCCGGCCTGACAGGCTCAGTGGTCAGGCCACCCGAGCAGCCACATGTGGACCCCCGAATCCTGCCCATGGTTTGGCAGGACAAAGGGTCTTTTCTACTTCAGTGTCACAAATGTGTCCTCCTCACAATAAGGGCGGCAGGGAGTTTCCCTGGGCCAGTGCCTCAGCCCATTGAGCCTGGGGTCCTTGTCTGTACCTGGGGATGAAGGTAGCACCTCACAGATGGCGATCAACACAGCCAGTGCAGGGCAGGCAGTCAGCGCTCCAGACTCACTTCGAGTCTTTGCCTATGCTGCCAGTCAAGTCAGTTGTGGGAAAAGTCAGGTTTTTCTCTTGAAAGTCAGGGCCGGGTGCGGTGGCTCATGCCTGTAATCCCAGCACTTTGGGAGGCTGAGGTGGGTAGATCACAAGGTCAGGAGATCGAGACTATCCTGGCTAACATGGTAAAACGTGTCTCTACTAAAAATACAAAAAATTAGCCGGGCATGGTGGCACGTGCCTGCAGTCCCAGCTACTTCGGAGGCTGAGGCAGGAGAATCACTTGAACCCGGGAGGCAGAGGTTGCAGTGAGCTGAGGTAGTGCCACTGCACTCCAGCCCTGGATGACAGTAAGACTCTATCTCAAAAAAAAAAAAAGAAAAAAAGAAAAAGAAAGATGCCAGGGCTGTGGTGTGGGATCATCACTGCATGAGGCATGGGGGCTGAGGTACTTGGTTTTCAGAGACCACCCCAAGAGGGTTCTGGAGCCAAAATGTCACCCCTAATGACTTAACTGGGAGTCCCACCACTAAAGCTGGAGGTAATCACAAAAGTGCAGACAAATGTTCTGGAAGTGTTGCCTATAATGGGGAAAACTGGAAATAACTGGGAAGAACCCAACGGCCTGATAATAAGGGTTAGTTAAGGACTTCTGTCCAGTGGAATGCTAAATAGTCATCAAAATTCATTTGCAGGACTGTATCTTCTGACTTAGGAAAATATTGTGATAAAGTATTAATGAAACAAGCAGAAGATAAAATGATACACCTAATAAGATGCTAATTTTGCTTAAAATATGTTTTGACAGACTAGGTGCAGTGGCTCACATCTGTAATCCCAGCACTGTGGAAAGCTGAGGCAGGTGGATCACCTGAGGTCAGGAATTCGAGACCAGTCTGGCCAACATAGTGAAACCCCATCTCTACTAAAAATACCAAAGTTAGCCAGGCGTGGTGGTGGGCGCCTGTAGTCCCAGCCACCTGGGAGACTGAGTCAGGAGAATCGCTTGAACCCAGGAAGGAGAGGCTGCAGTGAGCCGAGATTGCACCACTGCACTCCAGTCTGGGCGACAGAACGAGACTCCATCTCAAAAAAAAAAAAAAAAAAAAAAGTTTTGGCAGAACCTGGGTGAGGCCTTTCCAGTGGCTATCTATGAGTGTGGTTTCATAGGTGATTGAAAAATGTTTTTCTTTTGTGAGGACTCAAAGTGTTCTAAAATTAGCGTGGAACATCAATGATGGCAAAAAAAAAAAAAAAAAAAAGAATGGCAAAGACGAGGAGTTGTACTCCTTCACTGAAGCTGCCTTTGGTCCCTCCCTGGGCCTCAGCATGTGGCATGAACACGTGTGAGGGGCAGGGCTGGCTTTGTGGGTTTGTGACCCGTACCACTGCACGGGGCCCTGAGCTTAGGAAGGCCCTGCACTCGGAAGGGCCCCAAGCTCATTTTAACGCGCACCATCGTCACCATCTTGTAACTCTCAGGCATTTTCAAACCAGGGCGCCACATTCTCACCTTACCCGGGTCCTGCAAACTCTACAGCCGATCCTGGCGAGGAACCCTGGGGCCTCAGAACACCTTGACCTTTCTCTCCAGTTTCCTGAATACAGCAGCCAGCTCTCTGGAGTAGGTTTATTTTCCATGCAGTGACTCCTTATATTTTGTCCAGGCTTTCCAAAATCAGGGGCCCAAGGACACTAACCTCGGAAAATCAAAGCATATATTGGCTGTCCCCTGGGACAGTGGCTGCCTTGTTAGGAAGTGGGTGTGGTCACCAGCACAGCCCTGGCATTGCTAAATGGGCTGTCGGCAAAAAGAGGAAACAGGGCTCTGTTCTGTAAAAACATGCATGAGCATTTGCAGTGCTTTTTCTGGAGACTGAAATCTTTCTGTACACCTCACCAAATTTTCAGAAATTTCTTATGAGGTATGTGTTTTCTCCAGTAAAACCAGGTGCCTCTGACTCAGGGGCACTGTCTGTAGACCTGCCCTGCATCTCTTTCTACCAGTTAAGGCTCAAGGATGCCTGGGTGACCCTGTCCTACAGCTTCTACAGCCACACTGCCAGATAGGTGGTGAGCTGCCTGTCTCTGGAGGCATTCAACAAAGGCTGCACAGGAAACACCTTCTCTGGCATTAGCCTAGAGAAGCTCACCTGAGGGTGTCACTGCACAGGGCATCTGGCATCTTCTAAGGCAGGACCTTGTCATCTTACCTCTCTGTGCCTAGTACTGCATACAGGAGTATAGGTGTGGGGGAGGTGTTCAGTGACTGTTTCCTTTAGGGTATGGAAACAAGCACCAGAAGGTGGTGAGGCAAGCAATGCAAAGTTGACATGAGATGCAGGAGAGAAATTCCTGAGCTGCCCAGAAGCAGGTGATGTGTGAGAGAAGCCAGCAGCCACTGATGCTGAGTGCCTGCCGTGTGCTAGCGGAGTGCTCCACGTTCACAGGGATTGTCACCATTCTCCCAACAATGCAACTGAGATAGAACTCTTTTTTTACTCTTTTTTTTTTTTTTAGACAGAGTCTTGCTCTGTCACCCAGGCTGGAGTGCAGTGGCACAACCTCGGCTCACTGCAACCTCCGCCTCCCGGGTTCAAGCGATTCTCTTGCCTCAGGCTTCTGAGTAGCTGGGACTACAGGTGCCTGCCACCACACCTGGCTAATTGTTGTAGTTTTAGTAGAGACGGGGTTTCACCATGTTGGCCAGGCTGGTCTCGAACTCCTGACCTCATGATCTGTCTGCCTTGGCCTCCCAAAGTGCTGGGGTTACAGGTGTGAGTTCTGCCGGCTCTTATTAAGCTCCTTTTATGAATGAGGAAACTGAGGCCTAGAGAGGTGAGGTTACCCAGCTAGAATGAGGTAGCGCTGGCAGGCGGAGGCAGGCCTGCCTCAGTGCAGAACTGCCCTATAAGCCCAGGCTTTTCGACATGCTGCGGCTCCACTGCCTGGGACATGAAGAAAGTCCAAGTTCAGGTTCACTCTCTGCATCCTGTCTTTCCTTCATTATACCCTGATTGAATGGACATAAAAGCTCCCCCAAAGGGTTTGGGGATGGAGCAGGTCAGGTTCCTCATTTCAGGGAGATTTTAACTTTAAATGGGCTCAAGCAAGGGTTAGTTACCTGGACAGCTCATGCCTGTGGAGGCCGACCCTCCCCATGGTGCTGGATCTGTAAGATACAAACTCTCCTGCCTCCCTGCTCCCCAGATCCACGGGACCTCCTGCTCAAATCTCAGGCTGGGGCCAGGGTCACTAAGAAATCTGCCTTTCTTTGAACACTAACCAGTTCAGGCGTCCACAGGAGTTGCAAACTTGGGGTGGGGGCATGGGTTGGGTTCAATCCGACAGTGTTTCCTCTGTCCTGCAATGTGCTCAAATTTTGGACATTTCATGTACAAATCTGGATTTCTTCCGAAGTCAGAAGCTCGGACAGCCCCAGCCCTTATCCTCATGGTAGCAACAGGCTGGAGCTGACTGAGCACTCCGTCCCCTGCCATCACTGCAAACCCCTTCTGTGCCCCAGCTGACGCCTGCAGGCTGCCCTGTGACAGCCCTGCCGGAGAGTCCAGGGACACGGTGGGGTGACCCGCTCAGGCTCTGGTTGGCCAGCCCTCTTGGCTTGGGTGCTCCCCTAAGGAGGACTTTGGGAGTGTAGGCACCCGGGGATGGAAGCAAGTTAGCAATGGTCTCTGGAAGGCTGAGGACCTGGCCACCGCGGGTAGCAAGACCTGATAGGTGGTCCCTGCTGTGGTTGGGGGCACCTGATCAAACTGGGAGGCTTGTGGAGGCCCAGGCCCAGGACAGCTCTGTGAGTTTCCAGGGCTTTGCCACCGCCCACTGGTGGGGTAGGTTTCTACCCCAGGAGTGCCCCCCAGGGATCAGAACCCTCACGGGGACAGAGGCCTTGTCTCAGGCAGACAGAGGGGCATGCAGAGAAGCTAGCTGGAGGTATGGGCTGGGCCTGTCGCAGGCAGGAATTGGGGCGGCAGCAGAGTCCCCCACCTGCTCCCCAAGGAACAGGCCCTACAGGGCCCCGGCTTCTCCTCCTCCCCAGGCCCTATCCATGGCTGTCCTGTGACCCAGCACCCGCCAGGCTCACTTGGCACTGTGGTTGCCCCAAGCAGAGCCAACAGGACAGTTGGTGACCAGGGTGTCTTGCTCAGAAGGGTCACCCAGGACGGCTAAGAGAAGTCACTCAGAATGGTACGGAGGGTGGGGGGGATCAGGAGCAACTTCCATCTGAGCCCCAGGACCCAAGCATTGCAGCCGTGAGGGGCTTGCCTCCTTGTGCTGTCGGGGGTCCCTCATCCCACAGGCCCTCACCTCCTGTGGTGTCCCTGGGCAGCCTGACCTTGGAGGGTCAACACCTGAGGACCCGAGGGGCGTCCATACCCCCTCCTCCTTCCCTCCAGCCGAAG